TTTTTTTTTTTTTTTTTTTTTTTTTTATATATAAAGAATATTGCTTCAGATTCTGAATAAAATTTTAGACTATTAATGTGTGCTTTCAATAGTAGCTTCAAAGTATCGAAACGCGTGAACATGTAACAAAAACGTCCATACAAAATCACGAATGTGAATATTTGTCACACATTTGGTGACTTTACATTCTAAAAGCTTATGCTTGGTGTGAAAAATATTAGCACTTTCTTGTATCATTGCGTCATTAACAAAAATATACATTTTATCTCTAATACCAATAAATTTGTATAATTAACTTCATTACTTATGCAACATCATATTATATACAATGAAACACTTTGTATATAACAATTATACTTTTACAATTATTCATCGTTAAGATTATCTTACTGTATTATCTTACTTATATTATTTATGCTATCGGTGTAATCTTACGAAGTAGACTCAATCGACGAAACCATTGCAGGTAATTGTTGAGGTACAAAATTTATAACTTCATGATAAACAAGTTCTAAAAATAATAAAAATGAATTACCATCTTATAAATTATATTAATAACCATTTAAATATATAAAAAATATGTATATTAAACCTTTCCATTTTTCAACAGGTAAATCCATATCTTCAAAACTCTGATCATATGGTAAAGATACTGGTTCATCAGTTGGATCAGCATACTGTGCTAGATACGGATGAGCTAAAGCTTGTTCTGCTGTAATTCGTTTTTCTGCATCCAATTCTAACATTAATTCAAGTAAATCTATAGCTGAAAAATAACAAAAAAAATACGTTAATTTAATATATATAAAAATAATTCATAACTTTTAATTTAAGTTTAAAATGTTTACTTCAAAATTTACCTAAAGGATTAGCCCCGCGAAAAACTTCTTTGAAATTCTTCTTTTTTAACGGAGGTAAACTTTGTATGTAATTTCTTGCCTAAAACATTTTTATTTCTTAAATTTTCATTTCTACAGGTCATTTTTAATATCTCAATATTTTACATTTACATAATATTTCTCGAAAATATTAATTAAAAATTGTGCATGGAATACCTCATAAATGCGTTACGTATTTTTATTATATTTATAATGCTTTATTAGTTTTACTATTAATTCATATTTTAAACTCAAAGCAAAATTTAAATACGCGGAAAGAATTAAGAAAAAAATAATTAAAAAAGATTGCAGCAAATATTTATCTAAAAAAAAAAATTACCTCTTGGCTGGTAATTTTGCTTAAAGTTTCCTCTGTGGGCGTACCACAGAGTACTAAAACTCGTGTTAGGTGATCAATGTCTGCTTAAAGTTAAGGTATGTTCAAAGCATGATTTATTATATAGAAATAGGAAAATTTGAAGCAGTGTAAAATGTATTGTAATTGTTTTAAGCATTTTCTTAGCATTCCAGAATACAAATGCGAATAACATATATTTTCCAGATTAGTTAATAAATATTATAAAGATAATTGCTCTATTTTAGTCATATATAATGAAATCATATATAATTATTATCGGAGAGATACATAAAGATTAATAAAAAAAAAAAGTGTAACATGCGAGGCATTTGAATCGTAACACATTATGAATGCGCAACATGCGTATACTTAAATTATTCAAGCTTCCTCTGTGGATAAATTATTGTTTAGCGACTCAAAGATTACTTACCGACTCTGACGAAATTTTTTGCATAAACTCGTCTCGTGGAGTACCCAGTATTTCCATTATTAAGTTCAATTGATGTATATCTGCTCTTGCTAAGGTTCCACCACACCTTTTTCTACTTTCACTATATGAATACTTTGATTATTACATGAAAACAGATAATTTCGTGCATTAATGCGTATTAAAGAATATATACACATTTGAATAGCGTTTTATCCCTTGCTATCAAACAGAAGCTAAAACAAAATATTTTTTGACATCTGGCAAAATACGATGTCGATTAATGTAAATATTAGTAAAATGATCGAAAATGTTAAAGCAAGAAAGAAGCCATGTAGAGCCTTAGCAAAAAGCGTATCTTTTGATTTTAAAATGGTTAAAGATTCGTAATATTCGTTGAACAATTATAAAAGAAATTTGTGTGCGTACAAGTACGATGTAATTAGATGGAAATCACAAACATTGATTTAGATTATTAGACATTAATATTAAGAGAAATTATAGAAAGCATGATTGATTATAAAAAAAGGATACGATCTGTTCCTGGAAATAATGTTCTCCCAGTTAAAAGTTCGGCCATTATGCATCCAACAGACCATATATCAACTAAAAAGCATAAATATTATAGAAATACATGTATTACAAGATATTTGTGAGAAGAAAGAATAACTACCTGTTTGATTATAATGCATCCAATTGAGCATAATTTCAGGTGCTCTGTACCATCTCGTAGCAACATAGCCAGTCATTTCATTCTCTGTAGGCCTGGCTAATCCAAAGTCCAAAATTTTCAGCTCACAATCCTCATTCACCGCTATGTTAGAGGGTTTCAAATCCTGAATTTTACAAATAATGCATTTGAAACAACCCATATCACATTTAAATTATTATTATCAATTATATCACTTTACCCTGTGTATTATACCCGCAGAATGAATATATTTGAGACCGCGAAGGATTTGATAAACAAGAAATTGTACATGATCGTCCGAAAGTTTTTGAGTTCTTACAATATTATTGAGATCAGCACCCATCAGATGCGTAACTAAATATCTATTAAAAGTACATGTGATTACTAAAACATGACAAGGAATCACAATCAAGGAATTGAAGAAAGGTAATCAAAATTATAAAATTACATCGAAGTACTTACACTTGCTGAAAATCTTCCAGAGAAGAAGATGGATGAAACACATCTAGTAAACCAATTACCTGCAATGAAAAATTTAATGAAAGGTTTCATTTTAAAGTCTATTTATTTTGGATGTTATAGATCAATAGTAGTAATATAACAACGCTCATTATATAGAACACAGTTATCTCTAAGTTTAGTAGCAAGACAAAGTTTCTAAATTCATGAATACCTACAGTGCCAATTTCAAAAATATATTAAATCTATGTATATAAATTCACATACACGTACTCACATTTTCATGATTCATATGTTTCAACATACGAAGTTCCCTGTATGTGCGTTTTGCGTGCACAGCTGACTGAAATGGCCTGGCTAGCTTTTTTATCGCTACCTTTTGTCCAGTTCTTGTATCAACCGCTGAACTGAAAAAAAGCAAAATAAAAAACAGTAACAAACTGAGATCTTGATAATAATTAAACATTATTGACTGCTACGCGAATCTCTTCTTTCATAATTATATAAAAAAATAATAATTTTTCTAAAAAAAAGAGAGAAAAAACCAATGTATTTTAAATATTTAAAAAATTAAGTACGAAATATACGTAAATATGTTAACATGGAATTGATCAATTGTCAGTGATTTCGGTTGGACAGGGATCCTTTAAAATATCATTTCGAGAAAATTCGTATAATACAATTACATCTCATTAAATTCATCCTCGCGAGAAAGCATTGTCAAACAATGCTAATTTTAGCTTGGCTCGCGACACAGGATACAATTTACATACGAAATAACTCGCACGAGCTATCGTATTATTAATAATTGTTCAACAATATATTAATTATAAAGAAATAATCTAACGCAAACAATCTATTAATTATCAACAAAGAAAAACAATTGTGACATGAATATACATATACATATAT